GTTCTATTGGTGATTAATTGTTGTTATTTTACTTGAATTTTCATGCTCAATTGCACCCTTGATCATGAGGTGTTTATGGAAATGATTGATCAAGTTTTTGCTCCTTTTTGGCCTTGTTTTGATGTTGTTTCGCTGCTGTTTTCGCTACTATTAGTAGGGTAACCAGTTACCTTATATAGGGTAACCGGTAACTCAGTGTTAATTTTTAGTTTTTGGCTTTTTTTGGGACTATTTTGGTTCCCACCTCTTCTTCTTCCATTTCCTTTTGATTTTGGCCTCGAAATGCACTTTTAAAGGTCATTTTCCTCTTTAAATTCATTGGACTTTGGGTGTAGATGAAGTTGTATAAACATTCATCAATTCAAATCTATCTTTATAGTGAATTGTTCAATTCATTTTAGGTGCTTTGAGTTAATGACATGTTTATTGCTTTAATCCACCAAGATGAGTGGATAAACTTAAAGATGGAATGATCTTGAACTTGTAATTCAATTTGGCGTTCCCTCCCCTCTTCTCTTTTCCTTTTGAACAATGAAAATCTTCGATATTGTTTGAACTTATTTCAAGTTCTTGATGAAGATGAGATCATTACCTATTTTCTTTTCGTGTGGTATTGCTTTCGGAGAGTGATCTACATATCACTTCTCTATCATGCATTAGCACTAACATTGTATTGACCGGCCTCAGATAGTCGTGGTTTCTACATAAACCCGATTATGATTGCTTAATATAGCGCTACATTATCCCGTAATCAGAAAGTGATCATTCATGACTCAAACCTATGTTTGAAAGTCCAAGCATGATTGACTATTTGTCTTAAGTCCATCACCTATGAAGCTTGTTATTATGAGGCTTTGATTTTATCAATCCTCTAATGGGCCTTTATTAAACTTGGTCTAAGAGCAAGAGTTAATTATCTTTGATCATTTGCTATAATGACTAATCACTAACTCACTAACCATATCATTTTACTAACTTTGTTTATGTTTCCTTCTTGCTTCCTATCTCTCTTTTATCTTTATGTTTATCATCTCATATCATATTTTCATTTATTCTTTCGTTATTTATCCTTTGTCCGTTGGACACATGTTTATGTTTCTGCCTATTTTTTTTGTTCACTTGGACCATATCTTGTTCAAAGCATTAATAAAGGACTAAACCTCTAAAAACTTGGTGCTCTTAACTTTGTGGCTATTCTCTTGGACTATTCTTGGACCATTGGACTTAGAATTAAGTCTCTTTCCCTTTATTTGGAGTATTATGGATCTTTTCCTTTATTTGGCTTGTTCATTTGCTTATGATCAAGATGGATGGAATTCTTTTGGCTTGCTACGGAGTATGCTACAAGTTGGTTAGATCCTTCTTATCTCTAGCTTTTATTTTGCTTTCTAGGGTAGTCACTTCATCTCCTCCCCTTCTTCAATTTTCAAAACTTTCTCCCTTTTTTAAAACTTTCTTGCCTTCAAACTTCAAACCGCTTTTACAACAAAACCTTGACTTTTGTCAAATGCCCTTTTTCAAACTTCTTTTTCTTCAATAAATGTCAATCAATGCTAACCATACTTTGACTCTTTTCAAAAAGACATAAAAAACATTGAAACTCATCCAAGACTTTTGTGCCTTATGCACTTTCTTTCAAAAACTTTTCCATAAGTTTATACATGAGTCATCTCTTTAAGTGAAACTATTCGCTTGGAAATGACGACTTGCCTTTTCACTTAAAACCAACAATAACAAACCTATTTTGTTATTTGTACCACGAACTACGGGATTTTGATCCTATATTGCACCTTGTGGATACGTAGGCATGAGGTGACAAGTCTCTTCAAACACAAAAATCTAAAAAACAATTATCTTCTCATCTCCCCAATCTCTTTTCAAACAAACCATTTTCAAACCAAAAAGCGTAAATATTTCAAACGGCTCCTATAGAGTACTATAGACATTTTGGGTGCTAATACTTCCCATTGCGTAACCAACCCCCTTACCCAGATCTTTGTTTCTTTTGTTCTTGTTTTAGAACTCTTTGGTTTTGTTCGCTCTTTTTCCTTTCCTTTTTAGGATAAAATAAAAGTGCAGTGACAACTCTTGCATTTTTGGAGTTAAGTTAATCAATAACTTATACTCACAAATTTTCCTGCTACAACTAGTAAATGTTGTCACAGGTTGCAAAATTTGCAGGTACAAAGTTCATTGTAGATTTGGAAAGGTTGGAGGTTTGTGTGGGCCATATTAATTTGATTTCAAGTGGCATGCTGAAGCCTCTTTTTTTTGCCTATGCGAAGCACCTACGTGACTTCTCCATTTGTGGATGCACATTTTAATCAGTATTTGCATTGTTGTGCTGATTTTTTATTTAGTAATTAGTTTATATGGGATTTTATGAACAAAAGTAACCATGGGCCTCAAATCAATGTTTTTTTTTTGTAAAATTTTCCTGTGATACTTTTGATTTGGATTGTTGATGAGAAAAATGCACAATGGGCTTAATGATTTTGTAGACTTTTTGGTAGAACCTTGTACAAAATGATATTAAAATGGAATGGGTTATGACTTGGAAATGATTTTGGTTAAGTTGAATTAAAAAGATAAAAACAATATAAAATCAATAAAATTAAAATGGACATGTGAGAATTGAAGTGGATAATGCTAACAGACTTTTGAATCGGGTGAACAACTTAACTTTTTCTTGAATTGATATATGGATCTCTATGCCTTCACATTGAATTTGCACGAAACTCTATTTAGAAGATGATCTGGTTCTTGATGATTTTCAATCTTGGCATACTGATAACTTGACATAGTCTGACAAAATGATATACACATAAATGACTTGACCTAGCATAGAGATCCTAGTTGAGGCTTCAATTGTACACCACATAAATCAATGCACCTTGACCTTGACCTTGAAATAAACATTTGTCTGACTGATGGGTTCAATCAAAACCAATGAACCTCAACTTGATTCGATTCACTTCAACCTCATGTTGGATTTTTGAATAATAGTTAGTGGGACGAATGCACAGATGAAATTTACACATGTAGGACCAATTTGGGGTATGACACATACTCTCCTTTGATTAAACAATGTCGACAATTTTCATAGACGAATTTGTACGGCGACCTTATTTAATATGTTACCGAACCACATTAATTCTTTCATCTCCTATCACCAAATTTCTAATGTGTATGAAAAATTTCTTCACATTAAAGTAATGAAAACTTAGAATTTTATCTGTCATCAGTGAATCTTATGAGATTGTTCTTTGTCCAATTCATGACATGATCAAATCGCATGCTCCGACTTCTTTTTCAGAGAAAGAAGAGAAATTCTGACAGGGACATTCAGTCAAACACGTATGAAGTGATTTCCTTAATATAGCAAAGTTAATTTCTAACATCAAGATATTAAAAATAGATGTTGTGGAGTGCTAACACTTTTTATACATCTCAAAAATTATCTGGCCAGACTGAAGTATGATTATGTCGCACATTGAAAGATCGGTATGCACTTTTTTTTTATAAGCTTCCGCCTATTGAAAGGATGGTTGGTTTGTAACAAAAATCATATTTTTTTAAAAGATGGCATTTTAGAATTTTTGCTGAAATGGAGTGTAATTTAATGTTTTTCCATTAAAAGAGTGGTAGTAGGACTGTGAAAAATTCCACTATTTTACTATGTTTTAGTATTGCACGGATACCAAAATGAGATAAAAATTTATTTTAAAAAGAGTATATATTCATGGTATAAGGTAGATGGTAAGTGTATAACTATAAGTCATAGAATCATTTTTCTATATGTTAAATGACATAGGAGTGCTTCACATCAAGTCTAATTAATTGATTTGGGATTAGAAAAACTAAAGCACACAATTGAACAAGATATACATATTTTGAGGAAAATGCAATAAACTTAAATGTATAATAATGTAATTATGATAATATCATAAAGTTCCGTAAATATAAATTATTTCAGCAACAAATAGGATGTTTCGTACATTCTTTGTCATAATTCTCTTGGATACAAATCAACCCATACTTTCAATTGAAAGAAAGTTTTTCTTATACATAAATACCTGACAATCTTGTCTAAATTCCTTTCTGACACTAAGCTCCTCAATTATTTGAGTAGTCAAATTTAATAAAATTATTTCTGTATCTTTTTTAATAAAAAATATATCACCATTCTTACCAGATCCTATAGGTTCTTCAATGCAAGAAAATGGTCCAAGTATAAAAAGTTTAGTCCATGATTCTTTTACCCCAATCTCACCTAAAATTGATATGTGAAAAGTAGATGTGCTACTACCATACATCCAAGAGATTAAAGCAATAGAACCACTTAACACCACCAAATGTGTCGCCCCAGATAGAAACAGTATATCTAATGGTACGAGTGTAGTACATAACACCTCATCGACCAAGTCAAATGATTCCAAAGCTACTTCAGCATCAGGCAGATTAACAAAACGCCACCAATGGCACTTTCCATCTAAATACAACCCGCTATGACAATTATGAGCAGAAACATTATATGGTATACCTTCGAAGCACACATTAAGATCAAGTTTTTTCCAAGAGTTAGTTCTAAGAATGTATATCTCCTATAAAGATATATTATCTAATACATCTTCCCATGGCACATCATGTAGGCCAAGATCTTCACAATCTCGATGATCTAGGGAGTGGTAAAATATATGCTTAATCAACTTATAATCATCTCTAACATGGTCATATCCAAATCCATTAAGAACGGTCGAAAATAGTTGGTACCGTGGTACAGATTCACCCGGACTTGGAGGAATGATTTTAAATTCTTGGGTCGATGGATTCCAAAATACAATTTGTTCACTTTCCCATCGGTGGAAACAAAGAATTCCATTAATGGTACCGAAACCTAAAATGCTAAAAAGTGGATCCTCCTCTTGAAATGGATTTGGAAAACTCATTGTGTTTTCAAATTCATCATCATCATCATCATCATCGGACAATATATGAAACTATCTACGAGTAACCTGTAGGAGGACAGATGTATCGTCATAGAAAGAATGATGATTAGATATGAAATTTGAGCGGAACATTTTCATAAAATGATGGTTTTCAAATATAATTGACCATGATTTGCAAACACACCCAAATCGCTTCACAGATTTTAAAGGCAATTTGGAAAGAATGTTAAATGAAAGATCATCATTGATGAAGTTACTAACCTTCTTTTCCATTTATTACAAGGAGGTTTAAGGCGGAATCTCCTCTTGAACGGTTATCAATGCTAAAATCGCCGGCGGTTGCAGATCAGCGAGACTCAGCTGTTTCCGATGGTGACTCTTGACAGGCTTCGGTGGTTGCAAAATGTGTGATGCAGCAGTTGATATTTAACCCTCGGAAAAATGTACGATGGTTAATATTTTACTTTAATATAATCAACGCAAAACTGGTTGATATTTAACCCTCAGAAAAATATACGATGGTTAATAGTTTCCTTTAATATAATCAACACAAAACTTAATTAAGAAGTTAAAAATAAATTCAACTCAATATTTTTGTATATAGTTTTCTTAATATAACTAAGAAGAAACAAAATTAAGAAGTAATAAATTATTTGATAACTTAATTCAGAAGTATCCATAAAAAATTTATTAAGAAGTAATTGTAAAATATTTTTTTCATTGAAGTAAAGTAAGAAATAAATTATTTTAATAATTTTCTATAGTATAATTTTGTGGGTTTTGATAAAAACAAGTAAAATAAAATAATAAAGTAGAAACTTAATTGAAAAGTTAAGAAATATTCGGTTTATAAAGGATTTTAATATTTGTATATAAAACTTATTTATTTTAAGGAAGTTATACATTTTGATCGTTTTTCATATCTATTTTTTTAATTTTTTATTTCTTCATTCAGTTATATATTTTCTAAAATGCTTTTACCTTCTTTTTTTTTTTGTCAAAGGAAGTATTGTTCAAATAAAACACATTTTTATCAAATTTAATTGTTTGTTCAAAGATTCAACTAATTATTACTAATTACTTTCTGCTATGAAATTTATAGCAAATCTCGACCTCACCTTCTAAGATATAATTAAAATGCCGTGCCTCAAGTTGTGGGATATATATATATATATATATATATATATATATATATATATATATATATATATATATATATATATATATATATATATATATATATATATATATATATATATATATATATATATATATATATATATATATATATATATATATATATATATATATATATATATATATATATATATATATATATATATATATATATATATATATATATATATATATATATATATATATATATATATATATATATATATATATATATATATATATATATATATATATATAGTTATAGTTATAGTTTTAGTTTTAGTTTTAGTTGTATTGTTTTTGCTTATAAAAATCAATTATACATCAATTCAATTATTATTTTACCATTATCTCACTTTCTTATATTATAAAATATTTTTACAAAATTATTATATTTGTAAGAGAAGTAATTAAATATATTTGTAATTTTTTATATTAATAATATGCATATTAATTAATTTATATTCTATATATGATATATATTTTTATATGTAAATTATGTATTATTTTAAAAATTAAAAAAATTAGTATCATTACTATATATTTTAATTACATAAAATAAGTTAAAATTATTATTAAAAATAAATAGTTACGAGATCTCATGTTCAAAATTGAATAAAATTTTTAGATTAACATATGTACATTATAATGAAAATGAAAATATATAAATATATATCGTGCCGGTATGGGATGTAACACCCCAACTATACCTGCGAAATATAATTAAAATATCAGAGTAAATACATCATTTATATTCAGGATGTCACACAACTAAACATAAAACAACGACTCATATATGATGATATGTAACACATGCAATATTTGAATCTTTCAATGCCTCAGTTGCATTGACTGGTTCGACATTTGCGTAAAAAGTATAACGTACCAGCTCACCTTCTTCATTGACCACATCATCTGATGTAATCAAACATTCTTGCAACCTTCCAGACATATATCTTATTCGTTGAGGTCTATTTGGGTCTGCTTCACCTCTGACTTCTTCTTGTAGAACTTCTCTTTCGACTTCACTATATGGTTCTTCACATGAGATTCTCATTGAATCCTTCTTCACATGAGATTCTCACTGAATCCTTCTCAACATTCTCAGTCCAATCTCATTCCTTAAGCTCATTTATGATAACGTTCATGCTGATTACTACTTGCTTGTTCACTGGGTCGAACAACTTATATCATCCAGTCAAATAATATCTTATTAGGATCATTTGACTTGACTTGTCATCAAGTTTTCTTCTCAACCGATCTGGCACATGTCTACGTGCTATAGATCCAAACACCTTCAAATCACTTAGGCTAGGCTTGAAAATAAACCAACATTCTTTTGACATGATTCCTTATGATTTCTTCGTCGAACATCTATTCAAGATGTATGTTGCAATTGACATAGCTTCTCCTCATAATTCTTTGGATAAATGCTTGCCTTTCAACATACTTCTCACCATATTCATGATGGTTCTATTCTTCCTTTCCGCATTTCCATTCTTTTATAGAGTGTAAGGTGGCACCACCTCATTCACAATCCCTTCTTTCTCACATAATTCATCAAAATCTTTTGACACTTACTCTCCACCACCATCAATCCTCGGAATCTTTAGCTTTCAACCATAGATTTAAATTTTGCAAATACCTCGATCACTTCACTTTTCTTCTTGATTAGGTAAGTCCATAGTTTTCGACTGAAATCATCTATGGACATGACAAAGTATTTGTTACCTTCAATCTAATCCACCTAAATAGGACCACATACATCAGAGTATATGACTCTAAGAATTGCCTTCGACTTGCTTCCCACATCCTTGTTGAACCTATTTTTGTGCTGCTTCGCCTATACACATTCTTCACATACTTCGTTTGGGATGTTGATTTTTGGTTATCCTGAAACCGTATTTCTTCTCTTCAAATATCTTATGTCTTTGAAATTGAGATGGCCAAGTCTATAATGTCATATCCATTCATCTCTGTTTGCTGCAGTTTCAAGGCACTTATGATTCATCACATTAAGTTAAATCTTGAAGGTTCTATTCTGAGACATTGGTGCCTTCAAGGTTAACCTACCACCTGAGTTGAGAACTCTAATCATATTGTCTCCGATCAAAACCTTGTAGTTCTTTTTGATCAGATGCCATATGCTAAGCAAATTACTCTTCATGCCTGGTATGTACAATGCATTAGAAATTACTGACCTCTTATCATTTTTCCACATAAACAAAACATCGCCAATACCTTCAACTGCTAGAGTATTGTCATTTGCAAATTTCACCATGTTCTTCGTTGAGGGCTTTCTGTTGGCAAACCAATATTTTCTACCAGTCATGTTCGATGAGCATCCCGAGTTCAAGTATCATTGGTCCTGGAATATTTCTTGATATGTTGTTGTGACCATCAGCAACATCTCTTATTCTTCATGTTTTGCCAGCTTTGCATTAGTTTCTTGATTCTTCTTCTTTTTTGGACAATCTTTAAAATAGTGACCATACTTCTGACATTTGTAACACTGAATGTGACTTTTGTCAGGTTTTCGACCACCACCTCTTTGGTTTCCTTGGTTACAGGGTTTTCTCTGATTCGACCAGTTTCCTTCTTGCTGATTTCAACCAGTCGAATTGTTATAGCTTTCTCTGCCTTTTTTTCCATTCCAACTTCCTTCGCCATTCTTTTCTTTTGCAGATTGCGCCTGCAAATAGGCATGCCAAGGAAATCAAGACCCGTCCAGACCCGCCCCAAAATTAACGGAGGAAACCCACTTTAACTGGGTGCAGGTGCGGGTAACACCCAGTTTTTTATTACGGGTGCGGGTGCAAAGGCGGGGGATGCAACTACCCGCCCCACACCCGCACCCGCATCCGCCCCGTCCGGTCTACTTTAAATTACTTTAATGCCTCATTTTAATTATTTTATTATACATTTATTAGAGTTATTTTAATTTTTAAAAATAGTTTTACTAGAACTATTTTACTTTTTAAAAACATGTTTATTAGAGTTATTTTATTCTTCAGAAACATGTTTATTATTAAAATGAATAAGTATTTAATTAAATTATTAAATTTTATTATTATGAAAAAAAATATTTATTTAAAAAAAAATAGTTTTTGCGGGTGGGGGCGGGGGCGGGGAACCTATTCTTCACTGGAGGCGGGTTTGGGTAGTAATTTTTTACCCTCGACTGGGTTTAGATGCGGGGGCGGGTCTGTTACAGGGAGATGTGTGTGGGTCTGTTACAGGGAGACGGGTACGGATGCAGGACTGCTTAAACCCGCCCCGACCCACCCCATTGACATGCCTACCTGTAAAGCCACATCACTCTTCGACTTTTCTGCAGCTCTTTCTGTAACCCTTTATTCGTGAGACTCAAAAGTCCAATGAAGCTCTTCCTTTATCAATGTTGACAAATTTTTTTACTCTTCTATGGCTACTACCACGTGGTCGAATTTTGGAGTCAATGACCTTAAGATCTTTGCAATAATTGATCTAGATGTCAATAATTTTCCACATACCTTGATTTGATTCACTAGCTTTGTAACTCTAGTGAAAAAATCAGTTATGCTTTCACTTTCTTCCATCTGAAACAATTCATATGTCCTTTTGTGAGTTTGTAACCTCACCTCTTTCACCTTCTCTGTGCCTCCAAAGAATTTCTCCAAGATTTCCCATGATTCTTTTGTTGATTCTACATCATTGACCTTTCCAAAATTGTCTAGATCAATACATTAATGAGTTATAAAGAGAGCTTTATAATATTTCTTCTTCAATTCTTTGTATGCAACCTTTTCTTGATCTGTCTCATTTTTGCAAGCGGTGTTACTCTTTCCTTCACAAGATCCCAAAGATCTTGATAACAAAAAACCACTTTCATCTACTTGTACTAATTCTTATAATTCTGACCCTTCAGATTTGGGAGATTCTTCGGAAAATGCCCGTTCGGATGATTCATCACCATCGCAATTTTCTTCCCATGAATCGCTCAGTCAATGCTGTAGATACCAGATGTTGGAATTAATGCAAAACTTTGAGTAATTCTGAACCAATCTTGATGAACAAGATTCAACCAACAGATCGAAATCCCTTGTGTGAAATCAAGG